TAGAATATTTTATTTTATTCATTTATCAATATACCCTTATTCAATTTTTTCACACTTAATATGCTAACTTTTTGAAATCATCTAAATACACATATTTCCCACTTCTTCAAAATATAGAACAACTCTCATTTCTTCTTCTTCAAATTAAATCATTCAAATTTTTTTACTAATTCTAATAATAATTTACTACTACATATTGAAAATTAAATAGATGTAAATTGAGAGAGATTTTGACAAAAAAAATAATTTTTCAATTATATTAAAAAAATTTCTTAATTCGTGTGAAAAATTAAATAATCCTATATAATTAGGAAGGAGAAAGCAGAAGTATATCGAATTCGCTAGAGGGAGATTCCTTCTAATACTTGAATCTTTGTGATTTCAAGTCCCGAGGCCAACTAATAATGACAGAAGAGAGAGAATCGGACGGTCCATCAATAGAGCAGCACACTTAAGAACTAACATCAATAATTAATTATATAGTCTTGATTTTCCCATTATTAATTTGTTTAATCAAGATTATTTAATTGTGTGTTCAGACTGGGTAGGTCAGCTCCAAATTTGAACGAAAAATTAAACTTAGGTTTAATCGACTTTCTTGAAATGTTTCACACCTGGCAAGACTTTGAAGTCACTGTTATAATCAAAGTTTGAGTCCGTAGAGAAGTTGGCAATGTGATTTTTAAATAAAAAGATTATTATTATTATTATTATTATTATTATTATTATTATTTTAATAATATCCAAGAAGTGAGATCGTAAAGAACTAATTCAAGGCTGACAGATCAGAGGTCGTGAGTTCGATTCCTGAAAGGCTCTTGGAAGACAGATATTTTCCTGAAAGGCTCTTGGAAGGCAGGAACTCTATCGAAAGGCAAGATGCAAAGATGGGAAACGACTTGCTTGACACTTTGACAGATCAGTTGGAGGGACTCTTGAGCACTGGTCAGTTTGGGGCACAACCTGCGATTTAACCTGTCTGTAGCTTGAAGGGCCAAGGTGTAGACTTCAAGATTTAGTTATTATAAGGTGGATACCTGGATATCAAAAAAAAAAAAAAAAAGATCTGAAATAATCTTTAGTATAAAAATATAATCTTTAGTCCAATTTTTATACCAAATTCTTAAGAAATTAAGAAATTGATATTTTAGTCCAATTTTTTTAAATAACTTAAAAATTATGATTTTCTTTAATCTCTTTACTTGGACTAAAAATCGTTAAAATTGTATATTTATTTCTTTATGTATTACTATTGTTCTTCAATATAGAAAAAAAAATCATTATTACTGAGTGATAGTTGAATGAAGTACTTGAATTGGATGTAAAAGACTGCAATAATTCTTATAACTTCATTAAACATGCACATGCATAATAAATATAATTTTAAATTTAATAAATTTAAGGTACGATAAAATGTGAGACGAAAATTTCCTTTCATAATTTCTTCAGTTAATACTAGATTTCAAAATGCTATTTTTTTATCAAATTTTCCTTGTATTTATTATTTATAGTTACTTCCGAATCTTCATATTATTCCGATAATTTAACTATTCCATAAATCATTTTCTAAGTTATATATTACTCACAAGTCAAGAACTGCTTCTTCGAAGTAAAACTAAATCATTTTAAAGCACTCCATTTATTATGGTTCCCCTTAAACAAGATTGAGAGACATTAGACCCATAAATTGACACGACAAACTTGTGGGACTTGCAGAGAAAAAAATGATAAGTAGGTCTAAGGTCCGAGGAATCATTTGACAAAATTTTTACTTTTACTTTTTGTAAAAGAATTTTATGAAAAAAATTACCGTTGATCAGTTTTCTATAAAAACTCGTATAGCCATACAATGTATATTAAAAATATTATTCAAACATGTTAAAAAGTAACTTCTTAATATTAGAAGCAACTTTTAATTTTTCAAAAATCTTTTCAAAAAGACAGTTTATTTAGCCTTTGAGCAATGTTCTTTAAAAACTCAATTTTTGCCAAACTCATTTTTAACTACATTTTTTTTTCTTTTGGTTTTGTTTGAGTCCCTTTTTTGGAAAAATGAATTTTGCAATAGTTATTTTTTGACAAATGTGTGATTAAGAAGTATGATTTATTTATTTTTTTATTTACTTGTTGTGTGGTTGAAAATGAGTTTGAGAAAAAAAATGAGATTTTAAATAATGGGGTTCAAATGGGAACAAAATAATTTTATAAGTACACTCAAAAATTTGTCATACCTCATTTTTTTTTCACCATATGTTTGACAAAAAACATTAAAAAAAAAAAATCACCATTGCAAGATCTATTAACCAACCAAAAAATTGGGCTCAAACAAGTCTTATAGGGTCCTATTGATTACAAGAATAGAATTTGGGTGGAAAGAAAATGAATTTCAGGGAATTGAATCGTTTGTAACTTGTTTTTATTGAAAATTGTCAATTAAATGTGTTTGATTAGTATAATTTTTCACCTGTAAAATGTTAAAATTTTGGATCTTTTGATTTTTCACTTGGCTTTATTTTATATGAAAATTGTCAATTAAAAGGATAAAATTTGTTACAATTGTGGATAGAATTTATTTTTCATTGCAAAAAAAAAAAAAAAAAAAAAAAAAACCTGATAAACCCATTTTCCCACCTAACCCATAAGAATTGCAATTCCTCAAAATGGTGGATAACTTGGTCATGTGATGGTGAAGCTAGAAAACCACTTGCCTAGAAAAATTTGCCAATCAAACACTCAAAAAGGTGAAGTGGAATTTTTTTTCCCTTTTCCATGGAAAAATCATCCAATCAAACAGGGTCTTAGAGTTCCGAATCTGTAAAATCAGAATTTGGATCAAATCACACATTGACGACTCATAGGCAGTGGCTTGGTTAAGGAAACCCGAGCGGGCGAAGGGTCCACAAGACGCATAGTCGGCGGCGAGTAAAAAAAAAAAAAAAAAAAAAATTTTTTGTATACCTTACTTCCTTTCTTCCTTTTTCCTTATATCAATAACTCAATCAAAATGCAATAATCTCTTTTATTTTTTGAACCTATTTGCTCTTTCAATGTAAGTGAAATGACACATACAGTTTTATAAACACATTGTGACAAATATAAGATTTGACATATCACATTAATCAAGTCAATCCAAATTTAAAATTATTAAAAGAAAAAAAAAAACTAAACCATTTTATTTCATTTTAACACTTACCATGCTAATTATCCTCACATATAAGATATATATGTATTTATTTTTAACTTGCGAAAATTGTTTGAAATGGAATATTATATTATTTTCTTCAAACATTTTTGCGAATAAGTGCATGAATTCATAAGCCAATTAAGTTATCAAAAAATGAGATACCATAGGGCAGTAGCCAGCTAGATCTCCTCTGGATGCAAACCATGTGGAGATACAGTCATGAAAATAAGGTGAAAAAATCCAGGGTCTTGACCAATCAAACAACAAACAATTTATGAGCTCTTATTCCAATGTATAAAGATTAAAATTAATAGATTATTTAATAACAGTTGGCAGTGTCAGTTGCTAATTATTGTTAATACAATTCAAAGCAAAGAAAATAAAGGTTAAGTTTAAAGAGTAAAGCTGTGACACAAACATAATTTACTGTGCCAGTTAATAAGTTTTGAACGGAAGCTTGGATTTTACATATTCTTGAAGTTAAAGAATCTTTTAACGGAACTATGCAAACACACACCAAATTGTGAAGTGGGTATGAACTTGAACTATGTTTAGGTTGAAAAATACTATTGAATCATACACGAACACTTACAACACACTGTCTTTTTACAAAAAGTATACGCCTCATATTTTTAAGAGAAAATTGTAATATTATTCTTTAACTTATAGTGGTATTATTAAGTTGATCGCCTACTGTTGAAAACAGCAAGCTAGCCTTCATTTTTTGAATATTACCGGACAATATATTTGTATTGACGGAAATTGACAAATTTTTGGTGAAATTGTCAAGTAGCCATCATAGAGACAAGCCTCACTTCAAATTTTTGTTCATTGGTCCAAGCTTAAAATTAAAATCTAGTTTCGAAGTGTCATCTATTTGAGGGATGTGTTATAAATATTTGGACGATTTTCAGCATTATGAACTAATTCTGCAACTACAATGAAAGATTGAAGAGCTAATTGTTCATTTTAAAATGTTGACGACCATCTTGCTACTTCCGTGAAGGTTGGGAACCAGATGTGTAATTTTCTCTGTTTAAAATTATTCAAAGTTTTTAGATGGTATGTTCAACATGAAATGTTAGTACGATACATTTTACACACGTCAAGTTTTAAGTAAAAATATTAACCTAACTTGCAAATAAGGAAGATGTTGAAGAAAATTTAAATAATAAACAAAAGTACAGTGTGTTTCAAATTGTTAAAGTTTTCAATGAATAGTGTAACATCTGAAATTGCGAAAAAAAGAGAAAAGAAGAGTCAGTGGTCATTTAAAAAACTTGGTCATTATGATAGTATTGCTAGAAAAAAATAACTACTTATTTTGTATTTATTTGTTTTATTTTATCATTAAAAGAATATTTCTGCTAGGTGAGAAATTTATTAAACAAAATAATAAAAGTAGGATTATTTTACTTGTACATAAAAAAATACATAAAATGATATGGAAAGAGAATATTAGATGAAAAAGTTGATTATGTTTTAAATTGACAAATGATGTAATGATATATGCATTATATAACTCATTATATAAAACTTAATTTACATGTAACAATGTCTAAATGTAGGTATGTGAATCTTGAATAATGTTACTTGTAAAAAAGAAATTATATATAATTGTTTACATACAGATGATGTATAAAAAATAGGATAGGAAATTTTCTTTTATTTTTTTAAAAATATTTTAATTCAATCATATTTCGTCATATCATGCATAAGTAAATTATTATGCAAATCGATTATGTATATGTAGCACAGTCAGTTGATGATTACCAGAATGTTTAATTCTAAACAAAGGAGCATTGAGGGTGGTTGCTGGTCAATCATCAAGAGCTCAATTTTCGAAGCAAGCGTGAGTATAAATGCAGCACCTTTCCTGTCAAGCTTTCCTTTTCACTTCCCTCAAGTACCCATCTCTCTCCAATTCATTTACTCCGCTCTCTCATATTTCTCTCTCTCTCTAGTTTTCTTGATTGCTGACTGTCCATTAATAATGTTTCGAACTGCGGACGAAAAAAAATTCAAGAAATAAGCGTTTTGTTCAGTGATAAAGAAAGGGCTATGCAATTTCAAGACCGCGTAAAGAAGTACTAAAAGTAGCACTCAATAGGAAATGGTATCTGTCTTTCTTTCCCACTTTTAGTTCTGTTCTTCAAAGTACTTATTGGGTGTTCTATCTCTGTCAATATAGGTGTTGAATGAATCAATGAGTGACTGTAGTATTTATGATACTGAAATCAATGTTTCTGTACGAAATAACTGCTTCTGAACACTTTCTTGGAGCTCTTTATTGAACTTGGCTTGTGTTTTCTTGGAAATTTTTTTTGTCGTTCAGTGATAAAGAAAGGGCTATGCAATTTCAAGACCGTGTAAAGAAGTATTAAAAGTAGCACTCAATCTGAAATGGTATCTGTCTTTCTTTTTCCCACTTTTAGTTCTGTTCTTCAGAGTACTTATTGGGTGTTCTATCTCAGTCAATATAGGTGTTGGATGAATCAATGAGTGACTGTAGTATTTATGATACTGAAATCAATGTTTCTGTACGAAATAACTGCTTCTGAACACTTTCTTGGAGCTTTTATTTCAGTGGAAAATGCTTCGGAAATGGTAGTTTTGCATTCTCATATATGTTTTTGTCTCTGCGTTTTGTTTAACTCCAGTCTTATGAGTCTTAAAAATTGAACAGAGCCTTTATTATGTGTTACTTTCCAGCTCTTTGGAGGCTAGTTTTGACTGTGGAACTAATTTTATCATCATTCTTTTCTTAAGAAACACTCAGTAAAAGCTTATTATTCATTTTTGTTTCCCCTGGTCGAGTAAAAAGTAGTTCTACGAACGAATGAATATGGACTTAGCTTCATGTTTAATGGTAAAATTTTGACTGGTTTTACAAATTTAGGGGCTCTCTGACGGTGTTTGATTAATTGATTTTCTAAATTTTGCTTTTTCATAGGGTGTAAATTGATTCTTGAAGAAGACTGCAAGGAGGTTTTTCCTACTCTTTTGGGGATAGCTTCTTACCCTTTGAAAGAAAAATATGAATATTGCTGGTAAGGATACTAACATGGAGCCAGAAAAGGGCAATGAGAATCCTATAAACTACCATGCAACTAATATGTCTTCAGATTGGCCTTTAAATGACAATAATCTTATCGGCACATCAATAGGAGTTATTCCCACAGGCAACTCAAATGTGGAGTCCTTTGCTTGTTCCTCTGCATTGATGGCAGATTCATCTTGCCCTCAGATTTGGAACCAACCCGTAAGTGGACAGAGTTTAGGCTATTGTGATGTGAATGTTCAAAATATTGCTAGGACTTCAGATAATTTTGGTCCAACAAGTGGTGGTACAGGATGGATTCCTGATGCAATGTTAAGGGAGTGTGTGTATTTGCCTACTGTTCCAGGGATGGTTCCTCAGAGCATGCCTCACTTTCCGGCTGATTCGGGTTTTATTGAAAGAGCAGTGAGGTTTCCGTGTTTCAGCGGAGGGAATTTTGGTGACACCCTGAATCCATATCGCGTTCCTGAAAATTTGAATTCTTATTCTCATATTTTAGCATCAACGCAAGGGCAACACGATGTATTTGCCAGTGGTGGAAGAAATATGAACACGACTGGAAGTTCCAAGGCGGTGTTTCTACCTTCGGAGTATGGAATTGAAGGGAGCCCGCTCAAGAATAAGAAAACGATAGAAATTTTACCCATCTCTCGCGATGAAGAAAAACAAGGAGTTGGTATGTTGGCTAACGATTCCAATGAGGTTGAATTTAGCAGCAGAGGTGATCAGGAAGAGTTGGAGGGTTCACCCGGGGAGTCTTCTGGTAAAGGACTTGGCTCTAAGAAGAGGAAGAGTACTGAACAGGTTGAACTTTGTTTAGCATTTTGTTCATAGTGCTTTAGTTCAATGTAGCTCTTCCATTATAATTTTCATGCATCTTTGGTGTCTCAGAATAGGGAACTTAATGAAAACAATCGAGCCCTGGAACCCTCAGTCGAGACAGCAAAGGACGATGCTGAAATTCAACACAAGAGTGACTCTGGAAAACATGGAAAGCATGGATCGCAAGGGTCAGATTTGCCCAAGGAAGAATACATACGTGTTCGAGCACGCAGAGGCCAGGCAACAAATAGCCATAGTCTTGCTGAAAGAGTAAGAGCTCTTGTCGAAGTTCATTATAAGTTGCAAAAATGGGAACAATTTTATTTTTGGGTTTTAAACTGAGAAATTTGTCTACATTGTAGCTGAGGAGGGAGAAGATTAGTGAAAGGATGAAGTTTCTTCAGGATCTTGTGCCTGGTTGCAGCAAGGTTAGTCATCTTGAAAGTAACTTGGAAGCCTAAATCTCTTGTTTATTCTAGTTAGACAATTTGCTTTAGTTCATTCCATAAGAACAAATGTCCTTTTCAGGTTACGGGAAAAGCAGTTATGCTGGATGAAATCATCAATTATGTGCAATCACTGCAACGACAGGTTGAGGTATTTCAACTAGTACTTCATTTCTGTTCTTATTGTTGATCGATTCATATGGTGCTATTGATAAATATTGATGTGAGACTGCATCTGTTATCGTCAATAGTCCTGGTGATCTTTGAAAGAATAGCAACTAACGATAACCTTCTCCAGTCTTTTGCATTTTCATTTTTTCTTGACTGCGGAGCGAGGTGGGGTAAACGAGTGTACAAAGCTAATTTTGGCTCTCGTTTCTTGTAATTTCAATGTTCAGAGTGCTTGCTTGTCCTTAATTTTTGGATTTTTGTTCTCTAGTAGCTAGATCATTCTTGTTAGTGCATTTCTATTTCTTCTCAGTTCCTCTCAATGAAGCTTGCAACATTAAATCCGCGGCTGACCTTCAATATCGAAGGGTTCCTTACCAAAGATGTAAGAAAATATAAAACCTTCCGGGTGCCAATTTATGACTGACTGTGTAAATTAGTACCTTATCTAATGCAACAAGCAATACATTTATAGCAGATCATTCAGTCGCACATTGGTTCGTCATCTTTACTTCCTTTTCCACCTGATATGATCCTGCCTCATCCTCTATTACATCAAACTCCACATCAACCTCCACCTGGACTAATTCAACCTGGTCTTTCGAACTTGGGAAACTCTTCAAATGCACTTCGGAGATCTATCAACTCCCCATTTACCGCTGCCTTTAAAGAATCCACATCCCGAGTAAGCTCTATTTCTTTTCTCGTCAAACTAGCACTTTCATCACATGATTTTACGTCTATTGACAAGGCAACGCAATGTGCTCGATTCAAATCTTTACTAGCCAAATTACGAAAATTTAATGTTATATATTTTCACGTGCAGGGACCAAACTTATAGGAAGATGAGCTTCATAATGTTGTTCAGATGGGCATAAACTCAGGTGCTCCTCTTAGTAGCCAATATTTAACTGGTATATTAGATTATTCAACTGCACCGGTTTGGGTCTAAAATACACCGATAGGCAACATATCTCTTGCTCACTATTGGGAGGAGATCGGTTGTGCAGTTGTCCCACATCAAACTTTTAAGTTGTGGAAATGTCTTAAGGTGATTGCAGTATCTTTTGCTACTTTTGCAGATTCTTTGCCTCGAGGCCACATTAAAGCCGAACCTTGATAGCTTTTTACTCTGGAGTACCTGAGCATGTAAATTTATTCATGAAAAAATAATGGTAATCATATAGTCTTCCTACAAGAGCTTGTCCTGGTTAGACGCGTTTTAGCTTACCACCGTGATGTTGAAGCGCGACTTACAGATTCTTGAATTTGTTCCGAATATGATACCAGACGTACTTGACCTTATCCATGCTCGTATGCAACATCTGGACATGTTCAAGTTAATAGTTCTGAACAAACTAGTAATGTAAATTGAGACACATTAAGATATGATTGCGAGACTATTTCTAGTAGTTCATGAGAGTTTCTAACTTCCATACACTAGAAGATGACAATGTGAACCATTTATGAGACTATAATATGAAAAACCAACCTTATGATTATTCACTTATTCCCGGGTACGAGGAATATGGAAGATTAGGATGACGAGACTTTGAGGGAAAATGAAGAGGAAAAATGAATAAGTTTGTTTACCATTATCATGGGCCTAATTTTGTCTTGTTAAAAGTCTTGAGCCGTATTGAAGGTTGGGAAAAAATAACAAATGCATTAGTTTTTTGAAATAATTCTGGTATTACCTAAAGTCATCCAAAATTTAAGTTATACTGCAAATGACACATAAAATCACCAAAAATACTGGTAGACAAACCTTCCATATACACACAATGTAACAGAAAATCATGAATGGCTGATTTTAAGGAAATCTTTTTTTGATAGGTGATTTTAAGGAAATTAATTACAGCTGGTTGCCTTTTGGAAATTAATTTTCAATTCAAAAAATTGTATTATGAATAAGTTGTGGGGATTAATCTTTATTACTCTCATATTAAACTGAGCCATACAACATAAACTAAAAAATGGTCCATTTTTAGGAGAAATGCAAGGATGGAGAGACCGATCACTAGATATTGCACCAACAATGCACGAGTTTGTGATGAGCATGGACGTAAATGTTCATCCACCAATCGAATTTGAACAAGATGACATGTCTGACGTGGTGACGCAAACGAGCATGGAGTTTGCTACCATTGTTCAAATTTTCCATGATAAGGTTCTAATAAAGGACAGTCTTGCGATGTATGCTATACAAAACAATTTTGAGTTCATTGTATACAAGTTAGACCATCACGAGTATTGTAAATAGTTGCAAGTAGTGTAATCTAACAAAATGATGTCTTGTGCAGTGATTCACCAAGAATCCAATATGAACTTTTAAGACATGTGACGATTTTGCTGTTTCCTTATTGAGCTAGGAAACCCTGTGAGCATATAATAATGTCTTTCATGTTTACTTATTATTCTGTGAGGAATTGAAGCTTCTCGGGTTTTTCTATCTACTCTGAACCTACCTAACTTCAGCCAGGTTTTTCTTTTAGGCTGATTATGTATGTGTATGGCATCAATCTTAATAAACAAATCCAAGCTGGCATATATTTGTAATTGGATTCAATTTCGATGCTATATAAATTCTATCAAATGAAGGCCACCTTGCCTTAACAAAATGTATTGTAAAACACTTTTCCATACGTATTGAAATAAAGATTTTATATGGTTACTCAATACCAGTTCACCTTTTGAATTTTTTTGGGATGAAGACCTTATTCCGTTCTTACGTGAGCAATAACAAACATAACAAAAACCGAAAACTAGGGATGTGAACACAGGGATTTATAATGGTTCATTCTCATTGTGAATTACATCCATTTGCCGCTATGGGTTTTCCTCATAATCGAGGAGAATACTACAACTATTTGCTGCTATGTTGTATTCGCATTTCGCTCATATGGAGAAACTGGCTAAAACACGTACTTCGGAACATCTCTTTCTGCGCATCATTTAGTTTAGCCTTCAATATTGAAATCACATCGTTCTTGTATAATACATTAATGGTGCCACCGAATCGGTTCTCCGGGTGTATTATGTAGGAATAATTCTGTCAGCAAGTAAAAAAATTTGAGCTTGGTCAGGTATGTAAGATGGACAACAATAGGATGTTCAAAGATTACATTAGACTGTGATATACATGTGCACATCAGGATGATTTATATGTCTTGTTATTTTGGCTTTTCCCCACACGTGCATATATATTACTGTGAAACATATGTGCAATCAGATAATGACATAATTGTAGATGTCGTTTATACATACCCATGGAGTCTGGAGTGCTTCGTAGAAATTGCATACACACAAAATACGTTGTGTCTTATTTGTATATTCGCAGAACAGAAAAATAAGATGAAATGTATGCTTATTTATATCACATAAAATGTTTAAACTTGGTCACGTATGTAATATTTATATCTTCAGAAACCCCAGTATGACACCGGTGTTGTGGGTATGGTTGCTTTTGGGTTCGATTGCATCACTGTTTTCTGCTTCTTTATCGAATAGTGTTCTTCAACATTATCAGTGGGCCTCTTCGCACATTTTACGTTGTGGGATGTGGTCTTCAACACTTCTTTGGCAGAGGGGGAATCTCATTCCTTCGAATGGTAAACAATCTTCCTTCAAAAATGGGGATACAGATTGCATCGCATGTGAGGTAAGAAGATTGATTTGTGGTGTGATTTCTCTTGGTTCGTATCTTGATTATGCAGGGAGGATGAGAATGTTTCAATTATGCAGAAACGAAGAGAGAAGTGTGATATGGGTTTTCTTGGGTAATTGCGAGATTTGGAGAAAAATTCATTGATTGTAATTGGCGCATGTTTGGAATGGAAATTGACTTTTTAAAATTAATCCACTGTATTGTGCTACTTTTCATTTTTATATAGTACTGCCTAAAATGCATTATATCTGGGATACAAATAGGAAGAGGTGTAAGATATGAAATATTATTTTTTTAATAGTGTCTAATAGAAGGGTCCTGGGTAATCACAAAGGGGCAAAATTCATAATCCAATTGTATTATTTACATCAATTCAAAATATTTAAAAATATTTACTAAATAAATATAATAAAGTTATAGTTATACGATTAATGGTCACAATTCATAATTATAGGTCAAGAATTTATTTACCGATCACATATAATTAAATTAATTAGTCACAGATTATTTCGAAGTCACATATTATTCAAATTGTAGGTTACAGTTTATATATGGGTCACAATTTTCAAATTTATTGGTCATAGATTATTTTTTTAGTCACAAATTATCAAATTTTAAAGGTCAAAGACTAAATCATTGGTCACATGCATCAAAAACTCCACCTTCGATCCCAATTCACCACCAATATTAATACTTGGTCACAGTCACTACTGCACCCCTCTCAACCACAACACCACCACAACTACCAACAACAAAAACGACCACTAAAACACAACAAGCAATCGTACCACACCGCCATAACTAACAACAATAAAAAAATGACGACCATTGTTGCTTGCATCGCACTACAGCACACCGCCACAACCATCACTAAACATCCCTACCCCATGCCGTCCAACCCAAATCCACCACTACCAACAATACCGCCATCTCCACCACACCACAAAACAGCAACACACAATCATTACTTGCACCAAACCACCATACAACCGTCGACCACTACCTCGCCGTAGACAGTACCACCACCAGTTCCACTTCCAATAAGAACCACCCAACACCACAAAAACACAACGACCACCACCATCATTGCAACACCACTATCAAAGCCACCCCTATCACATCATGACAATCGGTCAACACCACTCACACTGATAGCAGCAAACCACCATCACACCTACCGACCGCACACCTCCAACTCCACATCCATTGCACCATAGCACTATCATCGCGCACAACACCATACCACCATCGCACACACCACACCACTCACCCAACCATCACACCACCGTAGCATATCATCATCACATTGTACACTTGACATCTCCACCACTGAACCGTTAATCACCACCACTCAATTTATTTATTTTTTTTAAAAAGGAAGAAAGTGAGGAGATATGTAGAGAAAACCCGCCCAGAGATTTACAGTACCGCCCAGATCTGAAGACGAAGGCGACGATGAGTGCAACACCGAAAGGATCACGATAGCGGACGAGCGCAAGTCAGCGACGATGGCGAAAATTGTGTGAGACAAATATTTGGGGTGGATAGCTGAAGGGAGTGAGAAGAGAGTAAGAGTATGAAATTAGGGTTTTGAATACTTGAATTGTGAATAATGTAATTTCACCCCTGACTTTTGCTTTGTAGTCTTTAAATCCCTGGTATTATGTAATTTCCACATCACAAAGAGCAATTCAATACCTCGGCTTCAAAAATGGGCGCGACTCGAAAGTCGAAACTACTATAGAATTATCCTTGTGTAAAAGGTGAATTCAATTCATCGGGATAATTTGGAAATATTTTAGCCTAGAAAATTCTCTTAATGAGGGTAAAAAAATTGACTTATTGATGCTCTTCTAGCAACTTAATATATTAAGGAGCATGCTACATATACACGGGCATTGACTGTGTACACTCTCCTCACATGAGGGGGGGTCCATGCATTTTTTATTGGGCATGAGCCCCTTTCATGTGAGAGGAGTGTATACGACCGGTGTACAAATATCAAAATCCATATATTAATATTACTTACTTTTTTTACAAATACGAAAAAAAAAATTCAATGGAATATACGTCATCTTCCATTTCTGGTTTCGTTTATTCTAATTTTAAATGGTTGTTTGTATGGGTCGACACAATATAATTTAGACAGTTTGAGGCAATGTTCAAATCAAACCACTTCACTTTCTAAATCAAACAAAACCATAATTCACTTTTTTTATCCAGTTCGGTTTGTCTTAAAATCACTGTGTGGTAAACAAAAAATGAGCGAATTATCCAAATGGTCACTAAACTTTGTAAAAGATTTTCACGAGGTCACTGAACTTTAAAAATCATCAAATTCATCACTGAATTTTGCAAAAGGTTTCAACGTGGTCACTGAATTTTAAAAATCACCTCATTCACCACTGAACTTTGCAAAAGGTTTTTCGGAGTTCCTTTTAAAGTTCAATAACCCGTGAAAATCTTTTACAAAGTTCAATGACTATTTGGCTAATTCACTCACAAAGAACATACATAAAAATGTTAAATCATAAACTTTGGCCTAAAATCTCAATAATCTTGACCATAAAACTTGCATAGGCATAACTACAACATAAATTTTTTTGATATAATCCTTATTATCCAAAAAATAATAATAATAAAAATAAATAAATAAATAAATAAATAAATAGATAGTTTGCTTACTATGACAACAATAAAGATTAACTAAACTATCAACTACAAAAAAAAAAAAAA